CCCTACTATCTTAAATACGGGAAAGTACTTGGAATAATATTTTAGAAATTATTTTGAGCAACAAAATGTTTTGCATACTTCAATGTGTTGCCTGTGGATTCACTGGACAAACATTACTACACGACAGCCACATCGCCTTGTTTATCAGACGAAGATGAGTTTTGGAATTTATAAATTATAACAAAACTTTACTATTTCGGGTATTTTTCTATTCATTTTTGTCTAAAAAGAGTATGGTAAACGCGCTGCTTATCTAAAGATATTTGAGTAAAATAGTAAATATTAACTTGTTTTGGCCTATTTTATTTTTACAACGTCCATGCATACGTTTACCATCACTACCCAAATTCCGATGACGTCAACAAACATGTGGACGCGCGAAAGGTCAGAGCCCATAATTTGGTACTGCACAGAAACCTATTTTCCGACAGATATTATTTATTACTAGAGCTATACATATTGCATTTTAACACTGTCTTACTTCCATGACTAATTTGCTTGAACTTATTGGTAAAATTAGATTGTATGTCCATTTCCTGCATAGCAAAAGTATACTTTCCATAGAACTCATCATACTAGCGCCATATCGCTATAGTCATACTATCGTTTCTAGATTTAGTATCTATTCTACAAGTCCCGCCTCCAAAACTAATAAAAATAGAGAACATATTTAATTACCTTACCTATGAATATGGGATAAGTTGGAATTATACATGAAACTCTGAGAAGCCCGTTGTCAACAAAATATGATGAGGAGGATTTTTATACTACTGTGATGAAACCATGGTATCAGCTGTGAAGACATTCTGTATAAGATATTAGGTATTGCCAAACAGAAGCCGCAACTTACCAAGCTTGATAATTATCTTTAAGTGCTTCTTCAAATAATTAACGACATATTTCATTTATAGTTAATTGGTATATTTGATTTATCTTTAAGAACTCCTTCCTATATAAGGTATACCTATCTATTTATAGTCAATTGGCTTATGCTAGCCAAAGGGCTTATTGTTTTCAACTATAAGTTATATCCTTCGTATCTTACTTACATAGGAGTTAACGATCCAGTGCTATATGGGAATTTACCGTTGATATTAATTCTTTGACCAATATATAGTTAATTGGTATATTCGAGCTATTGGTATTCTCAAGTTGTATGGGAACTCCTTCCTGTATAAGTTATACCTATATATAGAGTTAATTGATATATTGTATAAGTTATACCTATATATAGAGTTAATTGGTATATTCGAGTTATCTAAGATTAGTATTCTCAAGTTATATGGGAACTCCTTCCTATATAAGTTATACCTATATATATATATTTAGTCAATTGGTATATTGTATAAGTTATACCTATATATAGACTTAATTGATATATTCGAGTGATCTAAGATTGGTTTTCCCGAGTTAAATGGGAACTCCCTCTAAGTTTTACCTTTCATCAACGCGTCTAAAACCAACAGAGTTGATTGTTTAAATCGGCCATATGAAGGAATCTTGACACGATGTTGTGATACTAGGTAACCAGTATAGATGACACACCTGTTGGAGGCTAAATGACATTCGATCTTTATTAATTTCCTTGATGAAACTGACATAGCCCAAGAGACATTCTGCTCGATTGATTCAGAAATGGCTGCCTGATACACGCTATAACAGACCAATCCCTATATTGTCGTGGCGTGGTACTTTTAATCAGATCCCAAATCAATCAATCTGTTGTCTGCTCGCAAGGAACACGGGAAGGTCATGTATTTATCGTAATGAGCCATGGGTTAGTTGTATCAATAGTATTGCCTTTATGACACGATATGTTAAAAGTGTATTTTTGTTTCTATAGTTGATATTTTTATTTCTAAATATATTGTGTGAATCATTTACTTGAAGCACGGAATTAGAATGTTATCTAAGTCCGTGCTTGAAGTCAAACAATTCAAATACAAAGAAAAACACAGGAATCTTTTCTTTTCGAAACAACGAATATAAGCAAAGTATTGACAGAAAAACATCAAAGTGATATCGAAATCTGAATTCGAAATAAAACGATCGGGGAAACATAGGAATAGTTTACATGGGGAACATATAAACAGGAGAACGGGATCATGTGTTCCGGAGGGTAAGCAAGGCCTGCTTCATAGACGGACCCCGTCGTGTTAATCTAAGTCATATCCAATGTAAGCTCATGTTCTTATACCGACAACTGCGGATGTAACAATAAAACAACAGGACAAAACAATAAGCATTATCAAATCCATCGGCGTTCATTTCACAAGGAAAGAAAACATTCCCTAAGAAGATCATGCTTGTGACCAAAAGAATTACACATAGTTTTCATCAACCTGGAAACGTTGTGTTGTAAGCTTGTCCGTCAGCAGTCGACATCTACCACAGAAATTGTGGTAAGCGAAGCAAGCCGTTGAATACCGAATCAGCTGTGACATGTTAGCACCGTAGGTTTGGGAAACAGTGATGTTACTACAAGATACAAGATACAAGAAACATTATTTAACGTCGCATACAGGTAAACAAGGAACATAAGCTCTTGAGAGCTATTATTGTGACAAACATATGTAAAAATAACATATTATATTACAAGTAAAGGGAGATAATCACATATATTTATAATAAAACAGTAAACATATCGCAGGTTTCTAAGTGATTGTTACTGTTACGAAGGGAAAGATCGAAATCATTACACTTATTGAACAGCTGTAGTAAGCCGCCCCTGCTGGTCATGTTTTCTGTAAAGACAAAGGAAAGCGGCTTATATAGAAAAGTCTGTAGTGTCCTTGATTTCAAGTTCCATATCGTATATAGCATCATCATACCCAATACTGTTCCTGTTGTTTGAATCAGCGAGGCCTGATTATGTCTTCAATATTTTTAGCCTGATGTGAAAGTAAAGGCAAATAGCCTATACGAGGGGCTAGGATATGCTATAGAATTGGTGACAACCCTATGTTCATATCGTCGTCCGCATTGTCTTGTAAAGTAAACTCTGAACATAAGAGAACGCAAGGTTTCAGTCTTCATCTTGGTATAAGATGTTGTAGTATAAAGAATAAAGAAAGTTCAAATGTTCTTATAGAATAAACATTTTTTGAAGAGAGAATGTTCATAATTTATCAAACTATATTGAACTCTGCAAAATCTGCATTCGATTAATTTCATTTCTGGAGTATACAGTCTCACAATACGGATGTAACTCTTATTTAATGGTACCAGAATGTCAGTTAGAAGTTTGGATGATGGATTGGTGGAGCAACTAGCGGAGCCAGCGATAAACATTATTTGTAAGGAGCATTGGGAAATTACGGTATCCCAAAAAATGATTTTGAGGAATTCGCCAGATCTGCCTTATCAGCTGCCTTCTCGTCCTATGCCATCTGGCTAATACCTCCCTATGTGTGTATGCCTGCGTGTGTGCTGGAGATGTAATGTGTTCTGTTTGTGCCACCTCACTTGAATGCTACAGCACAGATACTGCAACATCCATCCCAGACCATTTTATACCCCTCCTGGGTTGTTGGAGTTGTGTAGGCAGGAGAAAAAAAACACTTTCTCTGAATATCCATTCGTACGACGACTTCGGGGATCGAACGACGGCCGCCTGCGAGGAAGGCCGGAGTGTTTACCACTCGACCAATCCGCCCTAAAACGCTTTGTTTACCACTCGACCAATCCGCCCCAAAACGCTTAAGTGTCTCTCCATTATTTTGTGATTGGATATTGTACTAACTCTTTTTAGCCCTCCTTGTTTCATGTTTGGCTATATCTAAAATTAGCATAGTTCGCTTTAGACTGGCTACCAGCCCCAAAGATTTTATGAAGAATTTCTCAACTGCATTTTACTTCTAGCTTATCTTAGGCAACATCTGTTTATCAGGCTTTGTATTCAGGAGGCGACTTTGCTTTAGAAACCTTTTTATTCTAAAATAAATAACCAGTATAACGAATTGTTTTAAAAAGCACATGTTGTTTTACTTGTGATATACAATTTTTTAGTGAAAAAGGATTGAAGGCAATTTAGTGTGAAATATCTGTACTTGAACACGGATGAATTGTTTGCTGGATTTTAAGGGCGTCAATAACCTTACAGATGACTACATAATAACACATTGTTTTAGCTGTAAACAAGTGAAACAGCACAGGAGAGGCTGTGTGTAGACTATTTCCTGTTATTGTATTTAAGGCTTGTCACGATACATATCCAGAATTAGATTTATATCAAACAGAAACCAGTAAAATGGTTTTATGGTATCTCTGATAATAACAACAGTAGCACTAAATCCCAGTCAATAACGTATATTTCTCAAAATAGATTCTTTATCAGTGAAATTATTGTATTTCTTCGAAATTTAAACCACCCTAAACCGTTGCAGTAGATATTAAAGAAAATCAATGATTTCTTTGTTGAAAGAAATCGATACTAGAGTTAACCGAAAATGGTTCCCCGCGATACACCGGTAAGTATTTAACAATTGAGTACATTATCACTACATTATAATATATGTATCATGTATACATTTTGCTTGGGAAAGATTTTTTGGTGAAAATAACATTGTATTTTTTGAAGTGAGAAAACCAGTTTGATCCTGAGGTCTGGTCACTATCTGTACACTTCTGTAGTAATGCACTAGCTAACGTCATAGATAGAACATTGCTGTTTCCTTGCGAGTATCACATCGATTTTAACCCAAGAAACTGATATGAAACAAAGAATACTGTGATTTACTTTGTTCCCTGTGAAGTTATTTTCCAACTGTGTCTCAAACTAAAGGTCCACCATCGTAAGTGTTTAAAATGTGTTAAAATATTCTAGTGATGTTGGGACGTGTCTGAAGCTATATTTTGGCGTGATGTTTGAATTCGCGTGCGAATTTCCTTTCAAATTCATGCGAGAATGTATAGCTCGCTTAAAGCAAGTAGTTTGCAGAATACACGTGATCTACTTTGCCTAATATATACATCATTTCCTTTCAACAAATAAACTGCTTCAGTAAATTGGAGTGTCGAATTTCCTCCGCCACAAACCAGCAACTGTTTTCCCCGGAAGTGCCTCGCGTACAAAATGACCCCCTTGGTAGGATAATGTCAGAATAATTTTGGTCAACAACGACACTCGCTCGAGCGCATAATGCATGATAATGGTGGTATCATTTGATAATAACACACCGATTAGCTCTCGGAAGGATAATGACGCCGTTATTTACACAATCAAGTCACTCCAACGCTGGCATTAAACCCACAACGGACTGAGGCAAACACCACAGCGGAAGGTCTGTATATCTCTTTAGTGCGTACCGTTAATCATATCTAGGGGACGGTATACACAGACGTCATTATTATCATTATCGTTATATCATTATCATTATTATAGAGAAAATGTAGATTGTTTATAAAACATTACGCTGACACAATCGTCTGTCTGCTTTATGAATCACCGTCATGTACTTTGTGTATTATCTACTATGAACGGCCGGTTGCTTTCTTCGATCAAGCAGCTGGCTATCAGATTCGTCTTCTACATGTGTAGCAAGCATTAATGGCTATGGGAAATGTATATGCAGTTTGAATAGTTATATTAATCTAAGAAATGTTTATGATTTATAAAGCAAGTTTTCGCGGTGGGTTGTATAAACCTCTGGTCACGTTGACTTGTACAGCTATTTTTCACTGTGGGTTATATAAACCTCTGGTAACGTTGACTTATAAAGCTAGTTTTCACGGTGGGTTGTATAAACCTCTGGTAACGTTGACTTGTACAGCTATTTTTCACGGTTGGTTGTATAAACCTCTGGTAACGTTGACTTGTACAGCTTTTTTTCACGGTTGGTTGTATAAACCTCTGGTAACGTTGACTTGTACAGCTATTTTTCACTGTGGGTTGTATACACCTCTGGTAAAGCTAGTTTCCACGGTTGGTTGCATAAACCAATGGTAACGTTGACCTATAAAGCTAGTTTTCACGGTGGTTTGTAAACACCTCTGGTCACGTTGACTAATAAAACTAGTTTTCACGGTGGGGTGTATAAACCTCTGGTAAAGCTAGTCTCCACGGTTGGTTGTATAAACCTCTGGTAACGTTGACGTATAAAGCTAGTTTTAACGGGGGGTTGTATACACCTCTGGTCACGTTGACTTATAACGCTAGTTTTCACGGTGGGTTGTAAACACCTCTGGTCACGTTGACTTATAACGCTAGTTTTCGCGGTGGGTTGTATAAACCTCTGGTCACGTTGACTAATAAACCTAGTTTTCACGGTGGGTTGTATACACCTCTTGTAACGTTGACTTATAAAGCTAGTTTTAACGGTGGGTTGTATAAACCTCTGGTAAAGCTAGTTTCCACGGTTGGTTGTATAAACCAATGGTAACGTTGACCTATAAAACTAGTTTTAACGGTGGGTTGTATACACCTCTGGTAACGTTGACTTATAAAACTAGTTTTTACGTTGGGTTGTATAAACCTCTGGTAACGTTGACTTATAAAGCTAGTTTTAACGGTGGGTTGTATACACCTCTGGTTACGTTGACTTATAAAACTAGTTTTTACGTTGGGTTTAACACATCCGTGCTGATTTTCGACTTTAAGAACACAGTTGGTATATAAACTGTTTTGGTTTTTTTGACTTGTGGAGCAAGTTTTCATTGAGCTGGTCTCAATATACTGTAAATATCTCATGTATTTTATCAATACTTTTGTTCTGTCAAATTACTTTGACCAGACATAACTATTGCAGTAGAGCTATTATTATGGTTCAGAGACGGAATAGTCAGACTGTCCTGAAGATTAACTGATTGGATATTCGCATGGCATAGCCACTTTACGTCTTTCAACGAAATAACAAAGATGGTCTTCAGTCTTCCTTTGTATGACGTCACGAAGACTACATCGGATAGCATAGATAACACACGATTAATCTAAATAGAATTTCACCGTCCCTAAATTTTACTTTTATTATTTAAGTGTCAAACATAAACAATACCAATGGCAACTTTGTGGAAGTGAAAGTGGAAAATAAATATTAAATAACACTATTCATATTTCATTTAATGCAGTTGATATTTTTCACCTAAAAGCAGTCTAGTGCTTACGTGCAATTACATATTAAATCAATAACATATATATTTTGTGTGTGTAAATTATGATATATTTCTAACTGAATGACATATCAACGTTGTTTCTAGTTATATTACGTACAGAAAAGAAGATGACGTGCATCATTAAAATTGTGTTTCCTTGCCTTCTGCTGATGGCGCTGTGTTCCTCACTTCCTGTCAAACGAGACGAATCGGCAAAGAACATGTTGAAACAGGTAAGAGTATATTGAATTGAAACGTTTGTCAACTCTTTGAGGTCATCAAATTACTTAAATTCCCCGGTCAGTAGTGAGATCTAGATTGTTTGACAGACCCGGTCAGTAGTGATATCTATAGTGTTTGACAGACCCGGTCAGTAGTGAGATCTATAGGGTTTGATAGCCCCGGTCAGTGGTGATATCTAGAGCGTTTGACAGCCCCGGTCAGCAGTGATAGCTACAGTGTTTGACAGACCCCGGTCAGTATTGATATCTAGATTGTTTGACAGCCCCGGTCAGTAGTGAAATCTAGAGTGTTTGACAGACCCGGGAAGTAGTGAGATCTAGAGTGTTTGACAGCCCCGGTCAGCAGTGAGAGCTACAGTGTTTGACAGCCCCGGTCAGTAGTGCAATCTAGAGTGTTTGACAGACTCCGGTCAGTATTGAGATCTAGATTGTTTGACAGCCCCGGTCAGTAGTGAGATCTAGAGTGTTTGACAGCCCCGGTCAGCAGTGAGATCTAGATTGTTTGGCAGACCCGGTCAGTAGTGAGATCTAGAGTGTTTGACAGACCCGGTCAGTAGTGAGATCTCGAGTGTTTGACAGCTCTGGTCAGTAGTGAGATCTAGAGTGCTTGACAGCCCTGGTCAGTAGTGAGATCTAGAGTGTTTGACAGACCCGGTCAATAGTGAGATCTACAGTGTTTGACAGACCCGGTCAGTAGTGAGATCTAGAGTGTTTGACAGCTCTGGTCAGCAGTGAGATCTAGAGTGTTTGACAGCCCCGGTCAGTGGTGATATCTAGAGTGTTTGACAGCCCCGGTCAGCAGTGAGAGCTACAGTGTTTGACAGCCCCGGTCAGAAGTGAGATCTAGAGTGTTTGACAGACCTCGGTCAGTATTGTGATCTAGATTGTTTGACAGACCCGGTAAGTAGTGAGATCTACAGTGTTTGACAGACCCGGTCAGTAGTGAGATCTAGAGTGTTTGACATACCCGGTCAGTAGTGGGATCTAGAGTGTTTGACAGCCCCGGTTAATAGTGAGATCTAGAGTGTTTGACAGCCCCGGTCAGTAGTGAGATCTAGAGTGTTTGACAGACCCGGTCAGTAGTGAGATCTACAATGTTTGACAGACCCGGTCAGTAGTGAGATCCAGAGTGTTTGACAGACCCGGTAATTAGTGAGATCTAGAGTGCTTGACAGCCCCGGTCAGTAGTGGGATCTAGAGTATTTGACAGCTTTGGTCAGTAGTGAGATCTAGAGTGTTTGACAGACCCGGTCAGTAGTGCGATCTAGATTGTTTGACAGACCCTGTCAGTAGTGAGATCTAGAGTGTTTGACAGCCCCGGTCATTGTGAGATCTAGAGTGTTTGACAGCCCCGGTCACTGTGAGATCTAGAGTGTTTGACAGCCCCGGTCAGTAGTGAGATCTACAGTGTATGATAGCCCCGGTCAGTAGTGAGATCTAGAGTGTTTGACAGACCCGGTCAGTAGTGAGATCTAGGGTGTTTGACAAACCCGGTCAGTAGTGAGATCTAGAGTGTTTGACAGACCCGGTCAGTATCGGGATCTAGAGTGTTTGACAGCCCGGTCAGTAGTGAGATCTAGAGTGTTTGACAGCCCCGGTCAGTAGTGAGATCTAGAGTGTTTGACAGACCCGGTCAGTAATGAGATCTACAATGTTTGACAAACTCGGTCATTAGTGAGATACAGAGTGTTTGACAGACCCGGTAATTAGTGAGATCTAGAGTGTTTAACAGCTGTGGTCAGTAGTGAGATCTGGAGTGTTTGACAGCCCCGGTCAGTAGTGAGATCTAGAGTGTTTGACAGACCCGGTCATTAGTGAGATCTAGATTGTTTGACAGACCCGGTCAGTAGTGAGATCTAGGGTGTTTGACAAACCCGGTCAGTAGTGAGATCTAGAGGGTTTGACAGCCCCGGTCAGTAGTGAAATCTAGAGTGTTTGACAGACCCCGGTCAGTATTGAGATCTAGGTTGTTTGACAGACCCGGTCAGTAGTGAGATGTAGTGAGATCTAGAGTGTTTGACAGAGCTGGTCATTAGTGAGATCTAGATTGTTTGACAGGCCCGGTCAGTAGTGAGATCTAGAGTGTCTGCCAGCCCCGGTCAGTAGTGAGATCTACAGTGTTTGACAGACCCGGTCAGTAGTGAGATGTAGTGAGATCTAGAGTGTTTGACAGCCCCGGTCAGTAGTGAGATCTAGAGTGTTTGACAACCCCGGTCAGCTTTTAGGTCTAGAGTGTTTGATAATTTGTAAGCTGACCTGATCTTTCTAGCAGATAAAGAAACGGTCACTGTTTGCCCTTTTGAAACAAAATAAGATGAAAAGACAAAGAAAGAGAGGATACCAAAGTGTCAACAATACAACAATTCGAACTCAAAATCGATAAAACTATGGCAGAGTATGAACAAAGGAAACATTAACATATGGACCCTTGCATATGTACAGGGATTATCAGACCAGATGTTCCGGAAGGGTAAGCGTCTTCTGCCTCATTGACGACACCCACCATGTCAATCTACGTCAAATCTAATCAATGCAACATCCTCACATCCACAGGGCACACCAACAAATGCATCAACCTTCAACTCACACAAAGAGGCGACGTATTTTAATATGAGATCATGCTGTCGACTATTAAACCTGCCCCCAGTTTTCAGAAATGTGTATCTCTCGAAACATTGTGTCGTAGGTTTGTCTGTCAGTGGTCGAAATATATCACGGAAGTCATGATATTCGAAGCAAGCTCTTGAACAACGATCAACTGCGAAATGAAACACAGCAGGTTTGAGAAATAGGGACATTACTATCAAGAATGGAAAAATTCACTATTGGAAAGTCAAAATCGTACATTTAGTATTAATTGTCTCTGTTGGTCATTTCGTAAGTTAAGATCAAGGAAAGCAGTACACGGTCGACGTGGTCGATGATTTTCTTGTTATTTAAAGAAAACACATCGTCAATTAATCTCAATGTAAAAATTGAAAACGTCTTAGAATGTGCATATATTTCACAAATAGAAACGGAATGCGTTGGCTTAGTGTAATCTCTGTTTGACTAGAAAGTGGTTTCGGAATTTAGAGCTGCTTTCACTTTAAAAACAACGAGCCAAATTTATTCACATTTAAACCCATTACAATTCACATGGAGAAGCAAACGCTAACTATCATTAAAACATATCTACCGAAAAATAGGAATTCTCTAAACTAATTTATTTGTAAAACATATTTCAGGTGACATTATATATTCGACAAGTGTTGAACCTGATTAAAGCACATCCTTAATCTAATCGCTGTAACATATTGGCTGAAGCATAGTCTTTGCTTTGACAGGGTCGGCCCGGACAATTGACCCTCACATGCTCTGTATCAAGCTTTGTTTCCAGTAGCAACAGTTGCCCTGGAGTTGTCAGGAGACATTGTGACGGGGTCACTTGTGATGCAGGAAACGTTTTCCTTTCCGGCTAACATGGCTCTGCCTCCGGTTTCGTTTTATTTGTGACGCCTTTTGATTTTGTTTTGATGTCTTCTCACGGTTCCCGTTCGTGTCATTTTGGTATCGATTTTGGGTCCCAATTTTGTCCTTATACGTTAAGATTATTGCTCAATGTGTTCTGCTGTATAGAAGGATATAATAATTCTATATCAGACTCAGGAAGGGAACCGACGTCGCACAGCTGCACTGCTGTTTCCTCGATGACGCTTTACGTCTTGTGACGTGGTTCTCCACAAGGACACTGTAAAACAATCAATCAGACTGATTATCTTGGTCAGTATCTCGGTGGTAGTTTTATCTATATGATCGCGACAGCTAGGCCAGCCCGGTAATAAACACGTGCGGGATACATGAGATACGTTTCACTGACTGAGTTGATATAGAAAAGGTTTCCCAAAACACTTCCCATGTTTATCGAATCTGCTGTCGTCTGTCAACAACAAAAAATGCGCCCTATACAACTTATATTCCTTTTTTATTTTCTTCAGCTTAAGATTTGTAGTGTGACGAATAATATAAATTTAATGATATTTTTTATCTTTAACTTCAAGTGGTTAATTTACAGAGGCGCAACGGAGTGGAAACCACCAGGGACCATTCCATCCAGCTGATAGTCACGGGCATCAAACCCATGGACAACGATTCTGACAACCATATAGACAGGCACGAGTTGGAAAATATCTTCCGCTATGTGAACATAAATTTGGATGAGGATTCGGCGCAGTACCTCGCAGAAGAGGTATTTAGCAGCAAGGAGTTTGAGCACAACGACGGAGATCTCCCAATCCACGGTAAGACTATCAGTAATGATGTCTGGATAAGAGACGGACTAGGGGTAGAGCTATAAGGCTTGGCAGGGGAAGGGACATATCCCATATTCAGTAGGGCTAGCAGGTAATGGTGGGACACGGTATATATTGTGGTTAGGGTAATTGAGGTAAATGTTTCGTATATCAAGCATGATGTCGTGACAGGAGACCATGTGTTAAATGAAGGTACAGGAATAACGGGCGAGGAAGGTATCAAACCATAGGACAAGGGTAAGGGACAGGTATAGGGGACGATAAAGGGTTTAAAACCATCAGACTAGGGTATGGGACAGGAATGGAGGGCGATGAAGGGTATAAACCCATTAGATATGGGTATTGGACATGACTTGAGGGTGAAAAAGGGCAATATATCATCAGATCTGGTGTAGAGACAGGCATGGAGGTCAATGAAGGGTATAAGGTCATCAGATCTGGTTAAGGGACAATAGTACAGGACGATGACGTGTATATGACCATCAGATCTGGTTAAGGGACAGGACTAGAGGGCGATGATGGGTAATATACCATCAGATCTGATTAAGGGACAGGACTAGAGGGCGATGACGGGCAATAGACCATCAGATCTGGATATTTCGTTGCCATAGCAACCATATAGCAACCACAAGAAGGCTTCTGATTGGTGAAAATTCAGATATTGTTCGATTTTGATGAAAATTGGTATATAGGGGTATAAGGGGATTGCGAATTCAACCGCATATGTTTCGTTGCCATAGCAACCATATGGAGGCTTCCGATTTGTCGAAATTCAGATATTTTTCGATTTTTTTAAAAATTGGTATATAGGGGTATTAGGGGACTGCGAATAAAACTGCATAAGTTTCGTTACCATAGCAACCACACGGAGGCTTCTGATTGGTCGCAATTTAGATATTGTTTGATGTCGATGAAAATTGGTATATAGGGGTATTAGGGCACTGCAAATTCAATCGCATACGTTGCGTTGCCATAGCAACTACACAGAGGATTCTGATTGGTTGCAATTTAGAAAATGCTCAATTTCACTCAAATTTAGTATGTACATTGTAGGTGTACTATGGGAATGCGATACTTTTCTGATACATCTTTGCGACTATGCGGGCAGTTTGGTGGACATCTGTAATGGTCCCCTTTTACAATTAGTACTTGTTGCTGTAGATATTGTTAAGATGTTTCAATTAAATTTCTTATTCACATCCAACTCATGCAAAGTTGGCTAACCAATTTGATTTGTGCATATTTACGGATAATCAATGAGGTATGGGGCCTTTTTTCCCTTCAAGTTTCAAGCTTTACATTATGTCTCAATAGCACGATACTCACATGTTTAAACCTTACCTCAATAATGTTAACCTACAATATGTCCTGCAAGCGGGGGATATAAATTCCACGAATTTGCTTGTTGCTGATGTCATGGTTGATCTAGTGCTGTTGCTGGGAGTCTAGCAGTGTAGTACTTCTTGGTGGAAATAGTCCTCCTTTACATCCCACATTTGGCTATCAGTTCGAAATTGTATACTTTTACTAGTGAGGCTGATTACATTTCTTCAAACATCAGAATACAACTCATTATTCAATACTTTTTTTAGTTTACCCTTTTAGTTTTACTTTTCTACATAACTTTGCAGATTTGTAAGAGCCTTCTTTCACCCTAAATAACAGCTGCCTGTTAAATCTTAAACTCGGTATTCTGTGCCGAATTTTTGTCTTCATAAATCTTCATTCTTTCATTTTAGCAGTTGCTTTATCATGTTTATTTCGTCGTCTTTCGCTGCTTTTTGGCTTTTCTTTGGTTTCATTTTCTATAACTAACTTCTCCAGAACACATAATCCTCAGTACAATCAGTATTTTCCTCCTGATCCTCTCCACGTAGGAACGTTCTGGGTATCCTTGTGCTTACAGCTGCAGTGGAACTGGACTGGGGCGATCGTCGGCGACCAGGTAGCTCAATTGGTAGAGCGTCCGTGTAGATTTCGGAGGGTCCCAGGTTCGAACCCCGGTCTGGCCGTTACATTTTCTCTTTCTCCTGTTACACAGCTATACGGTACTACTTAGGGGAATCCGGTAGATCTTGTTGGATCCATGCTATATACGGGCGTTAGTACCTGTTGTAGTTGGTGAATGATCCTTTACGAAACAAGTAACAGACCGTTGTTACGGTCTGAGGGGATAACTCCACAACTATACTAGAAGTCAAGTCAAGTAGGGGTCTATCAGGCTGAAATTCCTTCTCAGGTGCTTCTCAATTTGATTGTCACGTCTTAAAATTGGGTTTTAAAATCGTTTCCCTTTTGATTTTTCACCAAAGCTCGTCAATAGCCGAAAAATGTATGGACATATTTCCGTTGGTTAGTATAGCATGGACAATGTGATATAAACGCCGATTCTAAAAGCGTGTGATTCAGCATCCACATCAGCATCATGCAATTATCTGAACTTTGTGCCCACGTCATAAAGTGTACTTTTTAGATTTGTCATAAAAAAATCGCAAAAACAGTGAAACAAAGATCCGTTCCAATGTTCCTTCCTGCAGACGACTCACTTACTGTAGTGACAATCAACAGGAACCCAATATAATGTAATGGCATTCACTTATATTTTCACAGATTTGGCGACATTCTTCAATGATATTAACGACATGGGCATCTTCTAATGAACGGAGTCACGGGACCTGGCAGTGATGAACGCTTTTTGAGATCTTTTGAGTAAAAGGATGTCTAGGGATGTGAGCAGCGACATATTCTGTAGAGTGACGTATTCTGTAAGCAGAGAGGTCGTATTATGTAGGCTTTTCAACGCTGGTTCGTTATTTGAAGCTTTCATCGACATATTTACGCTATAATGCAACTCCTAATAACACCTGTGCAGCCTATACAAACTTGTTTTCTAAGAACAAACAGCTTGTCATTTACAGTATAGCACCAATGCTAATGGATAATGTCTATTCTGATTAAGCTGCCATTGTTTTTCTCTGCATCAGTCTTTGTCATTGTTGTTTGTTTACAGTTCATTGATTCAATATGAGATGACAATCCCAATTTTAAAAATAAATCTATAATTTCTTCCTAAACAGTTGAGCAAAAAATATGCAGCCCTTGTTGTTCCTTTTATGTATACAAATATTCTCTATTCTAATAATAGAATATTGCAAAAATAAATGCTCCTAAAATTGATGATTTACGGTATTTGCTTTGATTTTACAGTGTCAACTTGTGATTCAGCCCTATCAATGGGTACTAGATCATGTTCCCTGTCACTCTGGCAATTTTCTGAACAAAATTGGGATTCCAGGCCTCATAGCACAAAGAAAATATTTTTTCAACAATCCCTATAAAAGTAATGCCATTTTGTTTTTTATTTTCAATCTATTTTTAGGTAAATTCAATTAAGCTTTGGCTGGAGTCAGTTTAGGACTGTTCTATAATTAATCCTATAGAGGAAGTAGAGGCATCTTTCTGTAATATCATTAGTGACAGGCTTTAATTTATACAAACTTACCATTCCTTTCATCAATCCATTTTCAATATTTTGTTAATAGCCTCCGGTTAAAGCCTCCCACCCTTTCCATATAGTTAACACTAGATAGGCCCTTTGGATGTGTTTTTTAACAGAAATGGCCAACGTTTGATTTCCCAGTTGGACACAAAAAGTATTGGGTCACCTGTTGACCACGTTTTCTTCAGGTACTCCAGTTTCCTCCCACATTAAGACCCTCTCATGTTTCCATCCAGGCCAACAAAAGTGATTAATGTCAGTTGGAAAACTTGTTTCATAATTGTTGTGAAATGTTTAGATGTGCCCTTATTGATTTTCATTAGCTTTAAGACAAATTCAGACAAAAATTTAATCTGTGATATTGTCATAAATGTTCAACCTGAAAACAAAAATATACCTGTCCTAGGATTCAAATTGATGATACTAAGATGACATACACAAAATCACTACTAATTCTGTACATTTTCTCCAAAATTTGAAGTTGAAAATTGCATTACTAATCTTTATCCTTCTGTAACCCTAGGGAACCAACATATAATTTACATAAATTTGGGGATTATGCTTGTTACATCATGAACAGTATTTGTTAACATTTCTACTGAACTTATATAGATATTATCAGGCATGGGTTTTACTGGATAAATACATAAAATATTATAAAGATTATAAAAAAATAATAAAAAAATTCTTGACTAAGGTTTTATTGTCAATTTTATATCAAAACAATATTTAAATAACAATGACTGAAATACATGCTTGCCCCTTGATTGGTATAACCAGCCTGTCACTGAGATCTGTGGACCTTAAGCCCACTCACTACAGATCGGTTCACTTCAGACATGTCTGTAGAGAAGTGGGCGTTACCATCAATTAGGTAATATCCTGTACGTCATACGTCATGACATACATGCAGGGTCAAACACACCAAATCATCATTTACGTCATACGTCATACGTCATGACATCCACGCAGGGTCAAACACAAGAGGGAAAAACTGGCCTTCCATTTTCTCGCCCTGAAATACATGATAGTTTCCATCAAGATGCAATCAGCTCATGGTGAAATTTATAGCTATAATTTCCTGAGTAAAACAATTCATGCTTGGAGCTACCACCCCCAGATCCACCTACTATTGATACCTATTTACTTTTGTTTAGATTAAATATCGCCTTTCAGTACATTAAGTCTAAATAGGACAGTATCAATGGTAAAATCTCGATCACCCATCTTGTAATTTGTTTTGCAATCATTTCCATAAAACAATAAACCCAGAGATGATTGATAAATATACAATTATTTTAAAAACCTGTTGAATGATCTGATACAAGCTCTCAGAGGTATTAGTCACCGCCAGCTATATCACAGTACAACACTGTTGATGGCCGTAATGTCCAAACATAAAGATCATCCATGCTTTCGGTCAGAATATGTATCTAAGGTGGGTCTAGAGGTGTGTCTAGGATACCATTTCTGTTTATTGTGAGTTACCTCCCCTTATAGTGGGTTCACTGTCAATTATCTACCTTACCTCTAGAAGCAATACATGAAATTTTCATACAATTGAGTTGCTTTTATTTGGAGTGATCTCCCCTGCCTCTGGATTTATTAAGAGTGATCTCCCCTGCCTCTGGATTTATTTAGAGTTATCTCCCCTGCCTCTGAATTTATTTAGAGTGATCTCCCCTGCCTCTGGATTTATTTAGAGTGATCTCCCCTGCCTCTGGATTTATTTAGAGTGATCTCCCCTACCTCTGGAATCTTTATGCCCTTTAGCAAATCTTCATTAGTGCTGGATTTCACTCCGTCTCCAAAGTAATTCAGTACGGCAGCTCGCCTCGGAACCTCTGACCTATTGAAAAGATTAAAATAAATGTCACACTTAGTACATTAAACTAAGTTCTCATTTGATACACAAACAAGGGACCTGTTATCTACAATTCTGTTCTAATATTGTTATGAAAACCTTTGAAAACATTTTTTTTTTTTTTTTTTTTTTTTTCAAAAAAAAAGAAAAAAAAAAAGCTAAGCCGATCAAGCAATATGGAGAAATTCTTTACAAACGCACAGAATTACACCAGAAAAAATACACTTCAAAATAAATCGGCAAACACGAAGCAACAGCTAGACTTACTGATGCACACTATCATGTAATTACTTTTGCAATGAAGGTAATGGGATGGGAATCTTCATGAATGGTAAAAAAGATTACATGAATGGTTGTAGGTTTGAACTCATTCACCCCTGAAACCACATTTGAACTCTTCCAAATCAAAGGTTGAAATAGTTCATTATGAAATTTCGGGGGTGAATGAGTTAAATACACCGGCATACAGTATCAACATGACCAGATATCTACGTTTTGACCAGAATTATGTTGTTTGCGAGATCCTGGACCACCAACGGGGATGAATTGTTGAAAAATGTATCGCTACTAAGGAAGTAATCGTCTCAATACATATCACACAAAAAAAAAAAAANATAACACACAGGTAAGTAGTGGTAGGAGCTATAAAGACTTCTATCAATGGAATAACACACAGGTAAGTAGTGGTAGGAGCTATAAAGACTTCTATCAATGGAATAACACACAGGTAAGTAGTGGTAGGAGCTATAAAGACTTCTATCAATGGAATAACACACAGGTAAGTAGTGGTAGGAGCTATAAAGACTTCTATCAATGGAATAACACACAGGTAAGTAGTGGTAGGAGCTATAAAGACTTCTATCAATGGAATAACACACAGGTAAGTAGTGGTAGGAGCTATAAAGACTTCTATCAATGGAATAACACACAGGTAAGTAGTGGTAGGAGCACTGTGTTGAGTAGTAGGGAAAATGACAACTAAAACTTCAACATAAACAGGGTGTAAAAGATCTAGGACTGAGAAAACATTTATATCAACTTTCATAGAACCAGAGGTTTGAATACAATGTTTCACAAATTTGTACTGTATGTCTACAAAACAATTTGTCAGAAGTTGATTATGAATCTATAAGTATTATGTGACTTGTAAGAACCATGTACAGCCAGAGGGTGGTGGAAGCTCGCGTGACCTTTACAGAGTATCTATAACCATTATGTGACTTGTGTTACCTGTTTACATAAGAACCATGAACAGCCAGAGGATGGTGGAAGCTCGCGTGACCTTTACAGAGTATCTATAACTAATATGTGACTTGTGTTACCTGTTTCCATAAGAACCATGTACAGCCAGAGGGTGGTGGAAGCTCGCGTGACCTTTGCGGAGTATCTATAACTATTATGTGACTTGCGTTACCTGTTTCCGTAAGAACCATGTACAGCCAGAGGGTGGTGGAAGCTCGCGTGACCTTTGCGGAGTATCTATAACTATTATGTGACTTGCGTTACCTGTTTCCGTAAGAACCATGTACAGCCAGAGGGTGGTGGAAGCTCGCGTGACCTTTGAGGAGTATCTATAACTATTATGTGACTTGTGTTACCTGTTTCCGTAAGAACCATGTACAGCCAGAGGGTGGTGGAAGCTCGCGTGACCTTTGCGGAGTATCTATAACTATTATGTGACTTGCGTTACCTGTTTCCGTAAGAACCATGTACAGCCAGAGGGTGGTGGAAGCTCGCGTGACCTTTGAGGAGTATCTATAACTATTATGTGACTTGTGTTACCTGTTTCCGTAAGAACCATGTACAGCCAGAGGGTGGTGGAAGCTCGCGTGACCTTTGCGGAGTATCTATAACTATTATGTGACTTGCGTTACCTGTTTCCGTAAGAACCATGTACAGCCAGAGGGTGGTGGAAGCTCGCGTGACCTTTGAGGAGTATCTATAACTATTATGTGACTTGCGTTACCTGTTTCCGTAAGAACCATGTACAGCCAGAGGGTGGTGGAAGCTCGCGTGACCTTTGCGGAGTATCTATAACTATTATGTGACTTGCGTTACCTGTTTCCGTAAGAACCATGTACAGCCAGAGGGTGGTGGAAGCTCGCGTGACCTTTGAGGAGTATCTATAACTATTATGTGACTTGTGTTACCTGTTTCCGTAAGAACCATGTACAGCCAGAGGGTGGTGGAAGCTCGCGTGACCTTTACAGAGTATCTATAACCATTATGTGACTTGTGTTACCTGTTTACATAAGAACCATGTACAGCCAGAGGATGGTGGAAGCTCACGTGACCTTTGCGGAGTATCTATAACCATTATGTGACTTGTGTTCCCTGTTTACATAAGAACCATGTACAGCCAGGGGATGGTGGAAGCTCACGTGACCTTTGCGGAGTATCTATAACCATTATGTGACTTGTGTTCCCTGTTTACATAAGAACCATGTACAGCCAGGGGATGGTGGAAGCTCACGTGACCTTTGCTGAGTATCTATAACCATTATGTGACTTGTGTTACCTGTTTCCATAAGAACCATGTACAGCGAGAGGATGGTGGAAGCTCGCGTGACCTTTGAGGAGAATCTATAACTATTATGTGACTTGCGTTACCTGTTTCCGTAAGAACCATGAACAGCCAGAGGGTGGTGGAAGCTTGCGTGACCTTTGCGGAGTTTCCCACACACGGGTTTAAACTGCTGTTTTTCCTCCTCCGTCAAGATAGTCTGCAAAGGGAAATAACTCTTATCATCAGGTGTGTCATTAAACAATACAAACATATAAAAGACTTGTCATAGACATTGCTATATAACCTGAAACGATATGTAAGATACCTTATCACTGTTCATACAGAATTTTTTAGAACAAAAAAATAATTTAAGAAACAAGAGGCCCATGGGCCTTAACGGTCACCTGATATATTTATACAGAGAGTTGATTTCGTTTTTAACATGAACAGAAATATTATTCAAAGTGACAAAAAACAATAAAACCATCTTATTCAATATCAAGCATACAGATTTCAGACTAAAAAGGATTTGAAACTAGCACCTCTGATTCTAAACAAGGAAAATGAAGAAATTTTAGCACACTGACTCC